TGTTCGAACGTACTGGTAGGTTTTAATGCCACGCAAAAATATACTTACGTACCTCTTCTCCCCTCTTTCTCTCATAGATACGTACACCACACATTTCCGAGTAGAGCCGCGGATTCGTGTCGCAATGATGACACGTCGATAACACAATCACTACTGGAGCGACCACCACCGTCGTGTTCCACATAAGCCGGCATGCCCGATAGTCTTAAAAAAAAATCACTACGCAAAATCAAACTAGGGACTCCGCGCGCCTTCGTGGTGAGCAGAAGAGCTAACAAAACAAAAAAAAAAAACACGTATGTATGTATACACCATTGGGTACCGCGAAAAGAGCCCCCGGAGGAGCCGAAAAACGGAGGACGAGAAGAGCCCTCGGTACGATCGATGCGTGGCTAATATCCACGCGGCGGTAGCCACACAGCCGATTACAAAACACACGCAACACACTAATTCCCTTCCCCCCCCCCTCCGCGGCCAACGTTTAGCCCGGAACTTTTTCAAGGCTTCGGGGATTTCACAAGATACGCGTCGGAGCGACACGACTGGCGTGGCGTCGAAGCGACACGACTGGCGTGTTGATCTCCACGCGCCACCACCAAATTCCCCCTGGTTCTTTTTCCACGCACTTCCCAGGGATTATTTGGGACCGTAGGGGCCCGTGGTGATCCGTGCTGCCTTTCAGATAACGAATCAAGAGTAATTATTCGAAAGTAGCGACGGGCAGCGTACACACGAGTTTTTCTGCTCGATCGAGTAGACGATCCAGGGTTGGTTCACGGTTATACACGGTGTAACAAAAATGTTGGAGGTTAACGAGATATTAACAAAAAAACACCGACCAATCAGGGCGCGAGTCTTTCAGCCGAGTTCCCGCGGTAACATTGGCTATGCACTGCGATTGGTAGCCAACGTTATCGCGGGAAGTCGGATGAAAGACTCGCGCTATGATTGGTCGGTGTTTTTCGTTAATATCTCGTTAGCAAAGCCTTGGTTAACATTTTTCCTAAGGAAAAACTTGTTTCAAATCACCTCACGAATCCCCCATTTCCGGGGCCTCCAACATTTTTGTTACATCCTGTATATGGCTGGGGTTCGTTTATGAACGCAAACACACACTCCAAGCTATGAATTATTGCCGGCGGTATGCGAGCGCACGCAGACGATTGTTTGTCCTGGTTCTAACGTGTAATTAGCCTGAGAGTGGCGGAATAAGAAAACGAATAGAATGAAAAATGGAGTGAACTACTGGAAGACTGAATCCCTAGTGAGGATGTACATATATACGGGGGTGGGGGCACGCGCCGCCTGTTTACTTTATCACACCTTCAAACAGGTTGTTGGTACGCGCCTCGCAGTCAGGATTATTCTTCGTCAAAGAACGGCTTTATATTTTCCGCGTTAATCTCGAACATCCACTTTGGGCGAGGCCGAGTACAAGTATACGTATAAACGGAAAAAGGTACTGTTTTTCTTTCGTAGCGATTGAAACGACTCCGACAGATATGAATTTACATCGAGCAAAGGGACCCTCTGGCGATTTTTCCCTCTGTTCTCTCGTCGAATTTAACGATTAATCAACACATGCATCACCCTGAAACCAACATACGTTCATCTTATCATCGCACTTTCTCACATACAGTAATTAACATAAACACAAGAAACTGTTAGACTTAAAAGAAAAAAACAGTCCCAGAAACAGATCCCTTTAAACCACTTCTAGCTCCGAACGCAACAACAACATACGTTGCAGTTGTGCGGGGGGCAACCCCTGCACCCAAATATCTACTTACCCATACGAAAGGTCGTCTCGACAATGGAAATCCTTATTTTAATTCATCGTATAAACGATCACTGGCAGACATCCGTCCAGGAAAAACAAAGAGAAAAACAACACACACAAAGAGGAAGCACCATTGACACAAGAGGGTCGAGAGACGGAGCACGGTTTCGCAAGAAGGAAAACGAGAAACTCCACGGCGGCGACGCGCAGGAATGAGCCGGCGGCGACGCGCAGGAATGAGCCGCCGCCGCGTCGTCATCGCGTGGCCCCGGCACGCAACACAACAATAACAAAACGGCGGACAAGGAGGAGAGTTTCTCGCGTCGCCATTATCAGCGGCCGATGGAAAAGAAGGGTTGGTCACGGGCGGTAGGAGCCCAAAGAGCAAGCGAGCAAACGAGCAAAAGACCTCGGCTAGACGCAACAGAGAAAAGAGACATGGCCCCTGAACCAAGAAAAAGTGAGACAGAAAGAGAGAGAGGCGGCCGCGCGCGTCCCGTATTGCGTAGTAAGCGGTTGAATGGATTACGTCACGCACCAGAGGCAGCAGCAAGAGGGTAAAGGAGTCTCGCCACGGCGCGTCAGGGACACGTTGTGTTGTTTCCTGGGCCCGAAGGCGTTTGTTTATTGAACATCGGGACGCCGTGACGCGAGCCCGTTTTGCATCGATAGGACTTCGGCCCCCGACCTCGGCGGCCCGTTTCTATTCCGGCGCGGTTAAACACAAGGCAATGTGTATACCCGTGTGAGAGGGGCCCACAGGAAAGAAGCATGATTGGCCACACGAGACGCACTACCGCCACCACAAACACACACACACACACACACACATATACTCTATGAAAACTTTTCACGCTCAGTGTAGCGCGCAGCATCGTTAACCGTTTGCGCATACAATTCCACGTGTGTGTGTGTATGTGTGACACAGGATTGCCCGCTTTTCCTTCTGCGCCTCCGGGGGGGTCCACCCGTGAGTGTGTGTTTGCCCGAGGAACGATCGATCGACGAGATTACGGGGGTTTCGACCGAGTCCACCCCCGTTTATCGAGAAAAGTTCGTTAACAGGGGGATGCGGAAGAGGGAGGGTTGGGGAAGAACCCTCTCCCGCGTCGCTCCCCACGTGTTTTCGCGATCAAACACAACACCCAGTCACTTCGGGCCCTCTGCTAGGTCTTTTTATTCTTTTTCTCTCTGCCCCATTCTATCTTCCTCCTTTTTCCTTCTCCCGTTACGTTTACACGCTGTCTCTATCTCCCAAAGGCTCTCTTTCTCTATTCCTCTCCCCGAATGTCTGCCTTCCTCGGGACACACACCGTCGGCTCAAGTGTCCTCTCCTGTCTCCCGTCTGCACCGCGAGGCTTCCGCCGTATCCACTTCCCCCCGCCACCCGTCACCTAAGTAATCGGTTTTCCTTTTTTTATTTCCTTACTTTCCATCCAAAAAAGATCTCGGTCCTCTCTCGGGGGCCCGAGAGTCACCACGTAAACTGGTACCGCGTTGTTCCACGTGGGTAAACGTGTCCTTTCAAAACACGATCGTTGTCGTCGCGATCATCGCCACCACTACCGCTGCGAACCACATCGTCGTGCATAGCGTGTTGTGCGCCCAACGATCGACCAGTCGCCGCCGTCGCGTCCCAAGAGAGAGAGGATCACCACGTCGCAAAACCACACGCGTGTCGCCTGTATACGCGTCGTCGTCGCATGCTACACGCACACTACACGCACGTACACACACATACCGATTTCAGGTCGATACGCACGGTGTATCTGACGAAGAGACGGGTAAAACGTGTACGGGCGGGTGTACACGGGGGATTCTAAGGTCTCATATACGCGACACGAACGGAACACGCACCGACATCCTGACGAACGAGTCAGCTGGTACTGATCCCATCATGATCCAACCGCTGACTTGGCCACGGGTCACGGACGTAGACGCGGCGTCGCGTAGAAACGTGCGCGCTCTCCACCACCGGAGGCTCTCTCACTCTCTCCTATTTCGCCTCCTCGCGTCTCAACGGGAACACGACGTATGCGCCGCCGTTCGTGCGGACGCCTTAACTAACCTCAGGACCGTACCTGGTCACGTTCGAAGCCCCTCCTCTTTTTAGGCCCTCTGCCGCCGTCGCTGTTGCTCTGTCCAAGGGTAGGGGAAATGACAAAGGTGCCAGGGTACGTACATATATACCTGGTATACCAACAACCCCACCATGGGAATCCAACGTTGTGTGTAGCTGTGGGAAGAATATAGCTGTTATGAACATTGGGGGTTTCCTATTATCGGGGATAATCCTGAGTAAACGTATTTCATCGAATCTTTGGTCAAGTGATTGAGTCCCAAAAGTGGGGGTGTCCTTGTATCCCCAGAGGCATCGCTATTGGTACTCCTTTTATTACAACTACCCCCTACTTTCTAGTCGAACGATTATTAAAGTGTTCATAGTGGCAGATACTTAGCCAATAGCCTGTCATCCAGCCCGGAAACTATTGTTCCACACGGCAACGACTGTCTAAAGGTATTTATTGTTCGAACAGTCTATTTGATGGAAGATGGATGCCGATAGATCAAGCTCCAGACGGGTTGCTTAGAGGTGCTAGACTAGGGACGACCTTCCGCTCTTGATGGGGAGATGGAAGAGTGCTTACTTGTATTTTTTTTTGCAATTCCTCGTTACCTCTTTTAAGGCTTCTTTCAGACCATCGTAATAATCAGTTTTCATCGTCCGACGAAGATTGAAGGCCGTATAATAAATGAAAGTCTTGCTGGCGTGTTCGCGGCTGATTGGCACCGCAGACGAGGAAAAAGTTTAAATGCAAATTTCTCGTCTCGAATCGTTCATTTATTATTTGTTATTTATAGAGGATAAAGAGAAGAATGATTCCATGAACGCGGTTGGCGGACTATCTGCCTTATGAATGGTGGTTAATGTCTTCCAAGTAGGATTCTACTTTACCAGTGTATGTAACATACAGTTTTATCTTCCGTCGATGTTAATTTATTCTATTCGAATTGTTTGTAAACCGTGTTCACGCATCGTTCGGAGACGTAAAAGAATGTTCTTAGGAAAACATTTTTATTATAATTACAAATATCTTTACACTTGCCCCCTGTTCAGAATCGACGTTTATAATTTACATAGATCGTAGAATATATTAAACAAAATAAATATGAATATATATATATATATATAGCAATTCTACCGTGAAATCAGCACAGATCAGTCTAGTTTCTTTTTATTAACAGCTTCCTTCGATATCGTTCGCCAGCAAAGCTTCTTCAGCCCGTACACGAGCAGCAGCAACATTATCGCGTAAAATATCACCACGTCGATGGAATAGTAATGTATGACGCCCATGTATCTGAAATAATTTCAGTTTTTCCATTTTAATAACCCACTCAATCTGAAAATATAATAAACTATCCGATCGCTCGAAAGCCCCGAACGTAGGATACCTTGTCGAGCTCTTCAAGTGTTCGGCACCCTTGTACTTGGCAACGTGTTCCACCCACCAAGTCGCCAATTTCGTGGGGCTAATCGGCAATTCCCGTAACAACGAGCTCCGTTTCTTCGCTGCCGTACGATACGAATTATTGTGCACCGCTGCCACCTTCAAGATCCCCTCCCGAAGATTTCCGATCGATATACTGGCCAGATCCATCACGAGAGCGTAGCCCAGCTTTTCTGTAACCAAACGTTTTCGAAAGACTCAATTTCAAGGTCTAAGTAATCAAAAAATTCTGTCTTCCCTGATCAAAGTCCTCTATTCTTTGCAATATAGTTATATTCCATGTATCTTAGTAATATTCATTCATACCCTCCAACACTCTACTCCATTTAGAATATTCTACATACATGTACCCATCTCAGAAATATTGAATCGATCGTCTGCAGACCTGGTAATATTCTCCAGTATCTTAAACGAAAATAAAAAACGACATTCCTGATTCGATCCTTGGCCGGAGCTCGAAAGGTCACCTCGCCAATGGATCGTTTTAAAGTGAAAAATCGTTGATCTCTCACCTGCCTGCGCGGCGTTTCCATCGTGATCGCAAAAGACCGGCAGAACGAGAGTCGGGGCTCCGTGATAGGCGGCTTCGTGTAAAGACAACAGACCGCCGTGGGAGACGAAAGCTCGTAACTTGGGGTGCCCGAGGAGATCCTGCTGCGGCCACCAAGCCGCCGTTCGGACGTTCGACGGTAGATCTTTGATCTTCCCGCCCTCCCATTTCCATACGACGTTGCACGGAACGGTGGCGAACGCCGCGACGAACATCTGACGTAACGCCTCCGGCATACCCGATGCGCGTACCGACGAACCCATCGAGACGAAGATGAAACCTACGGGCAACACGTTTCGGTTATCATCGTTATTGGAATCTCTTCCGAGGGACGGTCATTCAATCTTCGTTCGCTTGTAACGTAGGCTGTAAAGGGATATCTGAAAAGTAGGCCACTCCGAGAGATGAACTTCCATAGAATCGAACTGGACACGCTTTGAGACACTTGGAATCGGAGGCAAGATTCTCGAAGATACAAGATTCATTTATTTGTTCTTTTTTTTTCATTCAATTGAACCTGTGAGGTGAGTGGGAAAGGAGCAAATGGGCGTATAAATAAGGAGTTGCTTCTACGCTCGAGAGTATACCTTGCAGGAGTCTACGGATACCTGGCAATAGCGTCCTTGGTCTTTACGACGGTGATAGAATACAGAAAGTCTGTTTCTATCCTTGAGTAATCTTGGATGCTCCACTCGTGTGGGGGGGGGGGGATCAGATCGATTCTACAGGAAAGCCCCTGTAACGGAATCAGCCTCGAATCGGACCCACCTCGTTGCAAGAAGCTGTCCAAGTCGTTGCTAAGTTTGCTGGCTGGGTTGCAATGAAGGCAGGCAACGTTGACGACGTTCGCCAAGTACGGGACGGAGTCGGCCACGCTGTAGTGACTGTTCTGTAACGTCAACGGTACCTCTGCAGTCAAGTCTCGTACATCGGGTAGCTGATCCCCTGAAAAATGACATATAACGTTGAGAGATACACCATATGCGAGCAAAATCGATCTGGCTGGATCTACTTGTCCCAGCTGTTTTACCTAGATATCGACGTAGAACGGGTTGCACGTATCCAGCGACCATGATCCAATGCATGATCCTGAGGGTGAGGAGACAGGCGACGTTCAGTACCCTCTCGACGATGTTCATGTCCTGCGTGAACGATTTCCCGAAGTATGGCGTGACCGACCAAGGCGACGGATTACCTTGACGCCCTATCGAGCCACTGTACAGGGCCACCTGTATCGGCGTACGTAACATTGATTTTCCTCGATTGTCTAGTAATTCAACGTCGCGTAATTACGTTCGTTAAGCGTACTAATGATAACTGAACGGGTGCAGGATTTAATTTAAACGCGATACAGCCGAGCGGAACACCACCACCCCCCGGCTTGGAAATTGTTCCCTGTTACCATGGCTTCTTTGTCACGGGGGAGGGGGCAGCAATTAGGAACAAACGAGTGAACTGTATAATATAATAATCTGGGGGAAATGTGGCAGCAGTCGATTATGGCGGAAAAAGAACAATTGATAGTTTAATTGGTATAGCACCCTTCGTCGATCTGTTAATTCATTCGGTTAAATGAAGTTTGAGTTCCTTATTAAGTCAACCTTACCGTGTTCAGCATTATCGTGGGCACATTTTCCCTGTGAAGAACGCCAAGAAGACACTCTGGAAAGGCTCCGTCCACCACCGCGACGTCCCACCTGGCACGTGGATTTCCGTCCGGCTTCCTCAGCATGGTCACCGACACTTCGTCGCGAAGAAGCGCCTCGCAAGCTTCCCAGGCGTATCGCATCGCGTCCCATGGCGAGATAGGCAGCTCGTTGCGGAACCTTGCGCCCACCAAATCCCATTCCGACGTGTAATTCCCGACGTAGGCCTGTCGAGAACAAATTCGAATTGTTATATTTTGTCGGACACAGAGATCACTTTAACGCGATTCCAGCGAGGTTCTAAATCAGGTAACCAGCTTCTTTAGTGCTCTCCGATTCCCTTCTGCGGTTGCTTAAAGGGTATAGCAAGATACGGGGGTGAAAGATGCGCTTAGAACGACTTGGATCTATGATACACCATTCGATAGTTTATCAAAAAAGTAACCTGTATCAAGTTTCAACCTTCTATCTCAACAGGGAGGGTAAACTGCTCTAATCCAAATTTTCCCTGTTACTACCCTTCTGGTTGATATAGAGGGTTGAAACTTGGTACAGGTTATTTTTTCGATAAGCTAATAGTGTATCAGAGATCTAAATCGATCTAAGGACAGCTTTGACTCCCTTATCCTGCTCTACCCTTTCTCCTAGATTCCACATTCCAGCTCCCGGCTGTCTTACATTTTCTACTCAAACAGGAATTTTATTTCAATAATACGTAGCGAAAGGCTTTAGTGTTTAATTTTGTAAAGTAAAGTACGACTTGGACACTTTTGACACTACTAAGGACTTACCCCCGTTTGTCCCTATCATGTATCTTCATAAATATGATATACATTGCGTGGCATAACCATAAAACCACCCTAAAATTTCTAATCCTTACATTTTGTGGTAAAAATAAAAACAAACAATTTTTTTCTAGGGAATCTAATCTATCTTTGCCTGGAGAACCATTATTTCTCAACACGATTTCAAACATGTCATACTTGGTTCGTTTTTACTTTAACCACACTACATAAGAATGGAAAATTTTAGAATACTTTCATAATTACTCCACACAGTATATCAGATAGAAAAAAAAACATTGAATCTGCTCGTCTTCGATCTATCAGAGTACCGGATCGCTTACGATCATTTCTCCGCGAATGTAAGGCAGACGTTCTCACATATTAATAAAGAAAGCTGGAAGAGAACTTAATCACCTCGAAAATTGGTGGTACGAACTCCTGGAGCCCGTTGTTCGCCGCCGGACCAGGAAACGCGCTGACAAGCGTCACGTTGTGGCCACGTGCCTTCAGGCTAGTTCCCAGAGCGACGAACGGTACGGTGTGCGATTTCGTGCCACCCATCGTAGCCATCAGAACGTTGTATCCCGTCGCGGGATCGAGGATCGTATGGACGACCGTCAGAAGAACGAATACGCGGTCGATCATATTTCACGTTCGTTGTTCTCGGTTCCCTCACGAAACGATTCGTCCGCCTGTGTCCCGTCGACGCGACGAGCCCCTGGATGCGTTGTCCTCGAACAGTTTGTTATTGGCAGAACCGTTGAACGTCGTGAACGGTAGTAGCATCGTCGAATCCGCCTCGACTGGTTGTCCCACGTCGCGATCACTTCGTCGCGACCTGTTCGTGCTCCTTCGTTCCAGCCGGCACTTCAACCCCTTTTAGTTTAATCGTTGTTCCTCGAGTTTCGTCAGTCTCCACTTCGACTGCGTGTAAAGATTACCTTACGAGAGCTTAACGAGCACTCGCGACAGAGCGTTCTCGCTCGTCTGCTTTTCGTGAACCACTGTTTCCCTCTCATATACATGCACCACCGCCGCCGTCGCGCTCTCTGTGTCCCTCAGACCGCTTGGAAAAGAAGCCGCGGGACCATTGTCATTGAAATGATCCTGAGCTGAAAAATGGTCATCGATCACCGTGTTGTTAACACAGCTCGAACTGGTGTCCCGCTCTTCTTCGATCGATCACGCTCTTGTTCGAGCCCAGATACGTGGACTCTGGGGCGTACTAGTTACTCCTCGTCATAATTTCATCGTGCCTCGGGCAAGGTCGCTTCCGTTTACCATGTGGATTGCTTATTCTATCATCCGTTATCTCTGAAACGACGGTAGAGGAAAATTGATTTGTTTACTGGATCGTTTCGCTGATCCTGGATATTCATCTGTTCCAACGGATCTCACGAATAATAATTAAAAAGCTGTCTTCATTAGAGGGGATTGTGTCTATATTGTTTTCTGTGGTCTGGGTTATTTTCGATGTAAACGTTCGATCGAATCGATCATGACAAATGAATTTCCACGTTTCCAAGGATTCACGTGACGAACAGCCGTTCATTGGAGGTACACTTTTCAGAATAAAGGCAACCCCATTGATCCCTTCGAATTTCACGATACGAATTAAACGCGAATCGTACCTTCGGACGAATATTATTAAAGCGGGGCGCTCGAGACTTTCACTAATAACGCGAGTTTCAAGTGCGCCGTTCGTTCGTTCATTCGTACGTCCGAACAGACAATACGATCTCTCGAGATCAGTTGCTCGATCCCGTTTCCCCGCTGTTATTCCTTTCTCTGGCGGGCTCGTCTTCTCCGCCGAAAAATGAATCCCCCCACCGTGTGAACGGTCGATTTCACCTGGGTACACCCGCCTCGAAAACCCAGCCACGGCAAACACGCGGAAACACGAGTCGAAAAAATAAGCCGAAGGATAAAGAGAAATCGTTAAAACCGTTTTCGGACCGACACCGAAAGAATCCGAAAGTCGACGTTCAAACATCGAAGGATATAGCGCAGCGTGGCCTGCCGAACGAACGTCTAATCATAACGGTAGAGTTGAACCCGAGATTCTTTTCGTCTGAACATTACGAGGAAGATCGGTAGGTTTTTTTTTCTTGAAACGAAATAATCGCGCAGTCGCAAGATCCAATTGAAATGTTAATAATCTCTGTTCGAGCAGGGACCGTTGAATAAACCGTGCCTCGAAGTAAACGGAATACGTGCAATAGAAATTTAGACGGTTTAACAGACGTACGAAGGTTAACCGAGGAATCTAGTGATCTTGAGGGAACTAAATGGCGAACAGAACGATTTCGGTAGAAACAAGAATCACCTCGCATCTTCGATACTATATATCTCTATATTGTTTCATGTTCTCCATTTCTTTCTTCTTTTTGTTCTTTTAATAATACCGTCGTTTATATCGTCTCTGCTCGTGCGATAATACCGATAATTTCACATGGAAATTACCTGTTGCGAAAGCAATTCAATTGCCAGAACCTACTATTCCCGCTAGCGTTCGGTTCGCCACGCGATCGAGATCATTTGTAATTCTCACGGTAACCATGCTGAACTCACCGAATGGGATCGACTTAGCGTCACTTCGCATTAGCGTGTTAATTTCGACCACGGTTCACCGGCACGGAATGCCTTCGAGACCTCGAAAATTCGTGTCCCGATACCCTTAAACAGTCGGTACTCGCGGAACAGGATCCAGGACGCATTTCTTCTTACCTCGACCACCTTCGACTTTCTTCCTCTCTCTCTCTCTCTCTCTCTCTCTCTCTCTCTTTCACTCCTCTACACACGATCACTGGTATCCCCTTCCTTTCTTATGCACTCGTTTGTCACACCGTTGGCATTTCCGCGAGAACTCGGAATCTCCTTCCCGATCAACCGGAGAAGTTCACTGGATCTAGCAATTCCTCCGCCGACTATACTATAACACTCTCGAATTTCTGAATGTAGACGTTCCACGAAACACACCTTCTTTCGCATACGATCCGTCCAGGTAACTGGCAGCAACACCTGATCGCGGTCGACCAAATATAGATATATTCCTTTCTTGAAATTCGTCTGTTCTCCCGTCGACGTTGATTCGACCTGACGCACCGAAAGCCAGAAAAATGTTGCCCGGAACGAGACACCAAAACTGGCCCGCGGAATGTCTTCGACCGAACGGATTCTAGTGGCGAACAACCGTTTCGCGGGCACCTTCAAGTTCAACGCGATTCGAACGCTACGAAGCTCGGATATCACCGAGCGTGAAAGTTTGACTGGCCAGCGGCAGCTTTAATGATCAGCTGTGCTCGAGACAGAGAGAGAGTTTTCCCTCCCACCATGTTAGCTTCTTGCTCTTCGGCGGGTCTCTCCCTTCGCGAAGATGTCCCGTAACGTGCAATAATATCGGTAGCGGGATCTCGTTGCGGGAATTCGCGGACCCCGTTTCACCCCGGAGTTTATCGTTCGTCGATCCTTCGAATTTTCGTATAGTTTTTATCCTGAACCCTTTGTAGTATTCCGATAGAAATTTGCAATTATACTATTGGGTCGAATGAAGGCTTTGTGCGGTTTATGAGCCGACCAGCATATAGCCAAATTGATGCAAATGATTTTACATGCTTGAATTCGATTCTTGGAGAATTTGTGCGATTTCCCGCGCTCTGTAACGAGGATTATTCACTTGGTCGTTGTGAATTCTCATGTGATCGATTTTGCGGATTTGCCATTCAAGAGTTTCAAGACAGCTATACACCGAAAACCGTTACGAACGTTTTAACCAACCCTAATATATTCACGATAATTTAGTATGTATATACTAATACTACCACTGTACCAGTTTGCCTTTCGCGAGTCCACGACTAGATGACTCCGATACGGGACCTGGTAACGACAAAATTCTCGGAGAAATGAATTTATTCGAATAAGTAGACAATTCGTAGTGAAAGCTGAAGTTTGTCGTGCAAATTACGAGATGAAATTGTGTGAGAGTTCGCAAGAAGAGATTTTCGCTCTGCCGGATGGATTTAACACTAGAACTACCGCAGCAGTCAAAATGATTGGTCAGTATATTCTTATAACGGTGATTAAAATCTTACGACAATGCGTTTTCTCAGATGTTTCACAACTTTTATTGCTATATGAAAATGAAGAAATTAGTTCATTTATAAATTTGTATATTTTTAACAAATTTCTCATTTTTACCGACCCGATAGAAGTAGTATACGTATATCATCGGTAGTTCTACTGTTAAAGGATATTTTGTATCCAAGGATAGAATTAACAATCGTATCTCTCGTATTCTCAATTTTACGACAATGAATCGCGACCACGTTATTGCGATTGAAGAAAAAACATATCAGACAGGATTCTTTTGCAATCTATAGGCCGATAGTCAGAGTCAAAAGGTCGATTAATCGGCGTTAAATTAAATCTGCATAGTTCCCTCATTCCTCGCGATTTAGCAATTCTGCGTACGTCAGAAATCGCTCGTGTCAATAATCGCATGTTAATTTCATGCATATATGCGATCTGAATATATCGATAGGGGATAACCCGACACGCCCAAAACGTCTCTACAGTCGAATTTCTCTTTTTCTATTCTTTCCCCCCTACCCCCACTCCGATGAGCTATCATCGTTAAACAAACGGTTCAATATACTAATCAGAGAACCACGACGGACTACGGATATACACGCACGACCAGTCGGCTGCCTATAATTTATTAAAATATGTACAACACCGAGATTCCCGCGTCGAGGATTCGCCCAGTAACAGAACCATAAACGTTCCTATGCGGGGATAGTATTTTGCGAATCACGGCGAAACAAAGAATCGGGGACAAATTTCACTAGTTCGATACCGTTACTCCATCGCGAGCGATTCGCTATCGTGAACGGTCTGCACAGTTCCCCTCGACAACTGTGGAGTCGACCAACGTGGCCGAACGGCCGCGTTACTTCGATTTCATTCGCAGCCTGCATACTTTTCGTTTTCACAGTCCCTTCTCACCAGGCGTGCATCAAAAGCCTCAGTATCCTGAAAAATTCAAAATTTCGAGGATCTTTTCCGTACATAATTATTCAAAGTCCTCGAAGCAACCAAGTGTGTTCAGGAACTTGCTCTGGAAACTGAACAGAGTAATCCGTGGTTTCCTTGCAACAGATTCTGTACTTAAAGCTCTGGAAGAAATATGTCTCTATGGTTATTCGACGGAGAACAATCCATGGTTACAAAGATGACGAGATCTTTACTGGAGAGACAGATCTTCGCTGGACGTACATTCCCTGTCGCTCTCTCGAACTGGTTAACGAGATCTGGCTAATTCGTTTCAGAAGCGGTTAGCGGCCAAAGAAAGGAATTAACGAATGGGAAGGGGCCATGAATCCTCGAGATCTTAACGGGGTCTTAGGAGGCTGGTCCGATTGCAATACAAAAGATTTGCCAGTCGAGGCCATTGAATACTTCGCCGCGACGATGGCTGTCGTCCTTTCTTTCCGTGGATAATACCGATTAGACCGGAGCGGGGGAGGAATGGCCCGACAAACCGCGGTGGATAAAAGCCTGGACGATTTTGGGGCAAGTGTAATTTACCGATTTAACGGGCTGTGAAAGGAGCCGGCAGCGGTTGCATCCGATCGTTGCGTATCGAT